GGAGGGAGGAGGAGGAGGGAGAGAGGAGGAGGAGGAGGAGAGAGAGATGTTTCGATGTTTTCCAGCAAATAATCAAAACATTTCAGATCCTGAGCCCATGAAGAGTGTATTCTTGAAGTAGTCCTGAACGAAGAAAGGAGAATGCTCACTCGCTTGTGGACTTTGGGGTTATGGAAACTCTTTACCTCCTTCCGGCGATCTCTTCCTGCGATCTCGTCGATATGAAGATAGATACTCCTCAGGCCAGGTCCTTACTAGTCGTGATGCCACGATAATCTAAGTACGCTCTTTGTCAATCTTGGTCTCACCTACATAAAGAAGAAGAGGAGGAGGGCAGTGATTCATTCAAAACAACGGAAATGGGGATGTTGCATGAAGACAGTGCTACGTTCACTCTCCTTAATTTCTCATTCTCGCTCTCGTCTCTGTATCACCGGAAGTTGATTTCGCGCTCTGAGTAGCGTACCAGGGCCCTACTTGTGCCTGCGAGACGCGAAGAGCGATAACGGTCAGGAGCGATAAACAGAACTTACCGACCATCCTCCGGTGAATCCTCAGACACCGCCCCCCCCTTACGTGGTATCGCTCACCTGATTGACATGCAGCGCCAAAACAACGGGGACAGAGCTGCTGTCAGACGATCAGCTGTGCAGCGTCATCACAAACGGACGTCGCTTCACGTGACGTTCCGGAGGAAAGGACGTCCCATTGCTCTTAAAACTCATTTCCCTGCTTCTCGTGGTTTCCTTGCGTCTCTCCATGCTTCCCTGGTGGGAGGGACTAAACGCAGGGACACGACGCAAGTGAGGGAAGCAAGGATTCCATTTAACCGAAGTGAAACGCACCCAGTGTAAAACTCTTACTGGCCATCTATTCAACCACTGCACATGTTCGAATTAACAAACATCGATGAGCTGCTTAATGTTTTGCATTAATCAGGTGTAAGCTTCCATCATAGTTTGGTCTCTTTACGCTGGAAGTTTTTATCGAGTCCGAGCATGTATTTTAAATTAAACAACATTTGTTTAACAAACTTTTATAATGTGATTGCAAATCTTCACAGTCGAAAGCACTTTTACAAAACAATAACATGACTTAGGTGGAATGATCTTAAGCCAACTTAAGAGTATTTCTCTTAACAGCAAAAAGGTAGCAGGCAATCTTATTAAGTAGTACAAGCTGTCACACAACATTACACTGGTGAGATGTATGAGGTATACAGCATCTTTGAATATAATGAAATAGATTTTCACTGTCATCATCTCTCTCTTTCCGCCCCATCTATAAGGTGTGTGTCACAGTGAGCCATATTTTACACCTGCTTTTCCCAGACTTGACATTTCAGAAGCAATTTCCTCTGACTCGGTGGTCTGTCAGCAGAGATAAATCAGGGGCAGCAGCTATTTATAGAAGGTCGCTTTGAGACAGATACGTTGCCAGCATAGAGGACTCCGGTGAAGAAACACAGTCACCCAGAAAAACCACATGCAAGTGCTGGTAGATCACTTTTTACAGTTTACAAATGGAGTGCCAAAATATATAACAACTGTAACTGCGGTTGGATTCGTGAGTTGTAAAATCCTGTTTGAGAGTGTTATAAACTACTGTGCTGTGTTTTAGCATTCAAGCTCATTGATGTGTACTCAAACTGGACTTCCTGTGTCACATTTCATCTTTTTGAAGGCATTTTGATAGCGTGTCTCACCTGAGGGCTGTGCAGGTCGGTGGTGAGCATGATGATGGAGTATGCCAGCACATAGGCAGTGTCTGCACTGGCAAACAGAATCTGTCTGCAAAACAGAATACACATGAGAGCAACAATTAGCAGTTACTTTTAATTAAACATTAAGTCTTAAAGGAGTGGAATACGTTTTCGAATCTTATGTAAAATTACAATGCAAGTATCATCAGATAAATATATTGCATTTGTAGGAAAGTGTTTTACTTGTATATGTGATTTCATTTGATGAATGCATGTTGTACCTTAGTGCTGCAGATGTTAATGGTTTTGCTCATTTTAACGTATTTAATGTTGGGTAGTTTAATCTACAGCAATGCATCATATTCTACAAGACTATTATTATAATAATGCATTTGTAGCTTTGTTGTTGTCCTGTAGGTCTAAATGATCATGATAGCGTTGTTTTCAGCTTTTTGTCTACACGTGATTTTCTCAACTTCAGTTGATCACATACATTTAAAATAGTTAAGTGTAAATACAAATCTGGAGATACATGTTTTACTGAACAGAAAGGGTTTGTTTGATCTGAAAAGTAACTAAAGCTGTCAGACAAATGTAGTGCATTAAAATATTCATATTAGATGGAATGGAATTACTCGGGTACTTACAACTTGCACTTAAGTACAGTACTTGAGATAATGTACTTAAGTACATCCCGGGAGCTCTTGTGACTTGACTGAAAAATACATCTTTCTCAATTTGATAAAGAAACCTAAGGTGGGCCTTACCCCTGGTTGCACTCCAGGTATCGAGCAGCGAACTTCTCCATCAGCCTGTCGATCTTCTGAGCCTCCCCCGGCAGCCTGAAGCCTTCCAGGAACGCTCTGAGCGCCGAGACAAAGTCCCGCCCACAGAAGTCCAGCTGGTCCACGTAGCAGTACATCACCTCTATGTTGAACTTGATGTTCTCGCCCAGGTACTCTCCCACCTGGGTCTGTGGACGCACAAGTAGAGGGGTTGGATTAACCGTTTTGTTGCTTGAGAACACAGCGCTGTACAACTTAAATCTGTGTCATTCCTCACAGTGTCCAGTCTCTCCTCCTGGTGCAGGAACTGGGCAATGTCCTCGGCTGTGGAGCCCAGCATGCCCTGGTCCTGCAGGTACTGGATACCTCGCTTGGGCTTTTTGTTGAAACTGGGAAGAGAATGGAAGAAAACAGGATAAGAAAAATAAAGACTTAGCTGAAAACATTCCATGTGTTTTTTACATTCCTCTGGTGGTCATTTGGGGTTGAGTAGCCTATCTTTCCCTACATCCACATGTTGACTGCAGGGGCTGGGGATCAAACCACTGTCCCTCTGCTTAGTAGACGCCTATTAAAGCAGCCCCTAAAGACCCACCAATAAAAGGCTGATCCTCAGTGATGCTAAGAGAAGAGACAAAGGGCTCACAGTTCGATGCCATGCTCGATGATGTCCTTCTGCTGTTTGATGACCTCGTACTGCTCGGGGTGGTCGGCCTGGGACAGCGCCACGCTGGAGGACACGGTGGAGTCCAACGAGCTGATGCTGTCTCGACGTCCAACCAGCGGCTCTGGGAGCTTCAGCTCTCCACCGTCACTTTCTGAGGGATGCTCCTGGCCTGCAAATAAATCACACACTCTTTAATGAAATGCTGATCTTCCTCGCTCTGCACTGTGTACATATTTCAATGACACTTCTCACTTACCGAGGTTAGCCTGAAGGTTCGGGTTGACATACATGTCTTTGCTCCACTCCACCATACATTTTAGGATGGATACCAGACACTCCAAACCCTTTTTACGTAGGCTCAGCTCCTTTGGATATTAAAGACAGCATAAGTTAATTTACACAATCACTTTTTCCAAATCCAAAAGTCAAAATGTGTTGAATAAATGTACTTGTAGTTTTTGCCAAAAATCACAACATGTTTTTTCTTGCAAAATATTGTATTTGAATCCATATCTGTTGGAGACTTTCAAGAACAACAAACAGTTTGCCCTTTTGATTTCTATGAATGGGGCGGTCTAGAAGCAGCCAACGGCGTTATAAATCACATTTTAGTAAATGACTTAAGTCTTAAGTAAAAAAGAAAGAAGATCTGTCTTCAATCGCTTTGCGCTTCATCAATACAATATTTAATAAAACTATTTCTTTAACTAAATAATGCAGTCTTATGAACCCCTTAATTCATATTGATGATTTTGTGAAGAATTACAAAATGTTTTAAGGGTGATGATGTCCTAAAATATGACGGCAGACATTTGAAGCTTCGTTTAATACCCAGTCATGTTACCCTCAGAACCTGACTGAAGGAGCTGTGACCAGAAGGTTCCTGCAGCCCTAGAGGGTCAGTACCTGCAGAGGAGTCATCCCCAGCTCCTGCCCGCTGCGGCCCTGAGCGATCTTCGACAGGTCGCTCACCAGCCGCTCAAAGATGTTGGATGCATTCAAGTCACAGTCATAGTTCACGTAGATGTCAACCACGCACTGGGCATCTGGTGAGAGGTTGGACAAGTTAAAAATGCATAACTTGTTCTTACTTGAATACAATTCTCCAAAAAATCATATCCCCTGCCCAAAGAAAATAAATAACCTAATCAATAACCCAATATAAAAGAGCCAAAATAAATTATTCTCTGCAAGATCAGTGTATACCATTTAAAGTCATATCCCCTGTACAACCACAGTAACCAGCAGACCGGATGTCTCCCTCTTCATATTTACAACTGTGCAAATAAGGGTCCCAAAGTCTTGGGATTCTATGATTGTTTGGACTTCATAAAACAGGGAGCAGGACTCTCGATGTAATATATGTTATTAAATTGAGTGGACAACTTTTATATTTGCATGAAGAGAAGAGGTGATTGTTATGCAATCAGAAAAAGAGATCCATCCAGCGATGCAGCCTCTTCCTCAGTCACATCATTAAACGTCAGCTCAACGCTGTCATCTCCGAATGTCTTCTCCCACGCCAGGTGCCTAATATCCCACAATCCTTGGGCTCTTTTCATAAATGTCCTGTTATGTCTAAATAAAGCTTTAAGTAACGATATTGATTCAGGTATCCCATGTCTTAAGGGTTTTAATTTGACCGGGTGTGTTTTATTTGGTCATTTCTGACAGTGGATTCGTACCTGCACAGATGCGTGTTAGTGTCTGGATAACCATCCACTTGTGCTCAAAGGAGCTGGTCGATGTCTCTAGGATGGTCAGAAAAATCTCCCGAAAAAACACCTGAGGGAAGATGGACGAGAGATAGAAGTAGGCAGATGAAATGTCAGCATGACTTTATGATCAAACTGGCTTTAACAGGTACTCCGTCAGGTTCAGACTATCTGAGCCCAGAGGAGAGTCATTCAGTTCCTCTGCGTCTGTACCTCAATCTGCATCTTCAGGTGGACCTTGAAGTGTGAGAGCAGGGTGAGGAAGATGGCCAACGAGAGCTCAAAGACCTCAGGCACGGAGGAGACGCCATTTTTGGACAGGGCCACGCACAGATACTGTTTGATGGCGTTGACGAACATCTCGTGGGTGCGGAACACGGGGCCGGCGCCCTGCAGCACGGAGAGCAGCAGCTGCAGGGAGACGATCTTAGAGCGCAGCTCATGGGACCTGGAGGAAAGGGAATGTATGATAACATTACAGGGAGTAGACATTGGAAATGGATATTGCTCAGTGTAGCTATGCTCAGTAGGCATAGATGTGCCCTAATAAACAGAAAGGAAACACAAGATACTGGGACATAAGAGTGTTTCGTCATGGTATTTATTAAATGTAGGTCAGACTTCTTTGTGAGCTTCTTCCAGGCTCGGTTTACTCTGGCCTATTCTCTGCCTGGCTCAGGGTCTGATGTTACAGTAACTAGAGAGGACAGGGCCACATTCCAATGGAAAAGGGCAAGTTAACCTGCGGAGACTCAGAAGAAGCGCCGTGAGGAAGCTGGAGGCATCCATATTCATTTTGACAAACTGTAAAGGTTGCCGCATAAAAAGAGTGGAAAGGAACTTCCAGAGCACAAATGTTGGTGATTTCAGACAAATGTTCCCATCATCATTTCAAATGATTCTAGGACGAGATCCCAGGGGAAGGGTATGTGATCTACACATACATATGTAATATTAGACATATACAAATGTGGAGCTTTGTTTTAACACATACAGTGGGGAAAAAAAGTATTTAGTCAGCCACCAATTGTGCAAGTTCTCCCACTTAAAAAGATGAGAGACCTGTAATTTTCATCCTAGGTATACCTCAACTATGAGAGACAAAATGAGAAAAAAATAAACTCCAGAAAATCACATGATCATTTAAAGAATTATTTGCAAATTTATTGGTGGCAAAGAAGTATTTGGTCAAT